ACGGCGCGATAAAACGTTAATAAGAGCTGTGTCCTCCTCGGGTTCGCGAACGCATTAGCCGTTCCATTCCGTTCACACGAGATGGTTCAGTCCTCGCATCCTTCTGTTCAGTTCAGTAGGTATAGATGTCCGTAATCGAATCGTCGCAAGGCGAAATCGAGTTGGAAGTCGGAAGACGCAAGACGGAAGAAAGGTCTCTCTCTCTTTCTCTCTCTCTCTCTCTTTCTCTAGCTTGTTTCAGTTCCGCGGAAAATGAACTTTATCGTTTCCGCCGGGAATCAGCGAAACGGTATTATTAGTTTTATTATCGGCAAATAGAAGGTGAGGCTGCGTAAATCCTCCTCCCGCATCGCACTTTACGATAATTCTCACTCGAAAAACTCCGCTCGCTAGTAAGAAGAGAAAATTCACGCGGGATCTATCGCGGTTACTGTGAAATTTTGAGGGCGTTAAAGCTTTTACGACGCCGTCCATGAACGCTTTAAGCAGAAGTAATCTTTTTCTATTTCCGACTTCTCAAGAATCAGACGTAAAACCGTTTTTCAGACCGAGTATTAATTATTTCCTACATTCTCTTTTTAGACCAGTGATATTTGGAATTTGTGAGACTTTACGGTTAGAAGCAAGCGCGTGACTGAGTCAGCTGAACGTCACACCTTGTCACAATTTTTGTTACACTCGCGCATTCGTACGAGTAACGTCATTTCTATCCGTAGGTGCCACTCGACCCGCTACGAATACAGTCTCCTCTTGATAGCATCCGTACCCTCATTTTACCGCCAGTTTCACATACGAGAAGAACGCAATGGAAAAGGAAAGAGGAGAAAATAGGATGAGCTCGACGCGAGAGAAGTTTCAGTCCGGGCAAATCGACCTCAAATTCTTTTTACGATAGGACACTCCTCACAATAATACATATATGCATGTAGCATATTTCTAAGTTATTTAATGAATATGATTTCCCGCATATCTGGCCAATGATTATATGCTATTAATTTAATCAAGAGAATAAGCGTTAACAGAATGCAGTTAAACATTTGGAAAACACCTCTCGGAGTATTTTATTAAAAACATGGATCTTCTCGCGTTTCCGAGTTATTCAATTTATTACATTATATTGCAATTTATTACATTCATTCATTACATTATATTGTAAAAAATATAATGTAAAATCAAAACTATTATAATGGCTAATATAATGGATAAAAATTTACACCTGTAATGATTGATGCTAACTTCTCCACTATAATAATTATAATTTTATACTAATTTTTGAGAATTGAGTAAAGAAATAACTCGCAAGTTCTTATCAGCGACAATAGCACGACAGAAAATACATGTTTCACGAGAACGAATGTAAACATGATTATCGCGTCGTTATCACTGGCTACCCGATGTTATCTGCGCACAGGACTACAGGGGTCGCAAATTAAGTTAATTACTGGAGGACGCTTCTACGCGCCGCGGCCTCACGCGACGGCAAAAATGCGCGAAAGTAAAGGCGCTTTAAAAGTGAGTTAATACTTTAACAATTGCGAAAAGTTTCGCACAGGTACGAAGATGGTGGCGCGGGAGAGGGAAAGGACTTTGGAGCCAGATACATCCCGGTACTCCACGTAGTTGCACTTTAATCCATTCAGCCACCCGCTCAACTTCTCCCGGCCATTTTGCAACTTACTCGTTAATATTGTTCCGCGGAAATCTACTCCCCTCGAGAATGGCTCGCAGACAGGACGCATAACGGAAATAATTCATTCACTTAGCTTATCGTAAGAATAATTAATCGATCGAAGGGTCATTAAGAGAGCGTTTCAAGGGAATATTTTGGATTGTAAAAAGTTAGTGTGCAATTACAATTATTATGGGGGATAACTTTTGGACTAACTACTGTAGGTGTGAATTTCCATATGTATGTAAATTTACAGCTCGCAGGTAAAATTAATTCCTACCATTGTAACGAAGCAGATTGCACAAGTAAATTTATAGTTATTTTATATATATATACATATATATATATATATATATATATATTTACTTGTGTAATCCGTTTTGTTATAACACTAGAAATTAATTTTACCTGCAAGCTATGAATTTACATACGCGTGGAAATTTATACAGGTAATAATTGATTTGAAAATTACTCACTGTACTAGTTGTAATTTTACATTAATTTTTATTACAATGCAATCCATAACACTTGTTATATATTTGCATTTTAAATACATTTTTTTGGAATTTATTTTTGAAACGCTAAAAATGAAGAAAATGTAAAAAAAATCAACTCTGTTTTAAACTTTGCCTCAAAATTCTAGACATAAATGTCCACTTAAATATCGTAATAAACTGAATAGCTTTATAATACTCCTCTTTTCTTTTATTATATATTTCATTCATTATAAAATTGTAATTTATTCCATTAAATAAACTCGTAGGTCGTAGAACAAACGAAACGTGGGAGTACGTGGGAGTAGGATCGTGCGGAATAACAGGAAACATGTATCTGGTTAGAAAATCGCGTGGGCAGTATCACGGAAAAGTATAACGGCACGATCGCCGACTGCAGGGTCAAGCCGATAGGGCAACGAAACCACCTACGAATCACAGTCTGACAACCGATCCGGGCGATTAGCTTTATCGACGCGCGATTACAGTGCGATGGAAGAAACCGCGACATTTCCGAAACACAAGCTGCCAGTCACCCCGCGTCGAGTCGCATGTCACTGTTAATTTCACTCAAATCTAACGTTGAATCTGGCGTCGACTGTAACTCGCGCAATTTCACGCATTGGCCTTTTTGCCGCACCGGCACGTATTTCCCCCGCAGCCACGCCACGATTTTATACACCCGCGATATCTCCGGCTATATTTACGTTCTCTTGTGTTCAGCGTCGACGGTAGAATGTTAAATTTAGTGCATCTGTGTCTACGCACGGTTAATAATAACCGCTACGGAGCTTGTTCCGTTTACATGTATTTTCCGTACGGCGGATTTTACAATCTCTTGGAAGTACTTTTACGGAACTGCACCGCAAAGAGAAGCGCGCGAAATGTTTTCACGCGTACCATCTATCTCTTAGAAAAAATGTATTAATATTTTTCTTATTTCAAAAATCCTCCGCGTTCCTCCACAGTCCTCTTATTTTTACGTTCAGGGACTCGAGCTCATGCTGCTAAAATATTCATGAGCAACTCTTTCCCTTGAACGTTTGAAAAAAAGAATTAAAGAAAAAGAGAAAGGCAAAAAAAAAAAAAACGGCAATGTTGTACCGTATTTAGCAATTATTCAATTGCTCGTTCACAAATTAGATAAAGCTGTGAGCGTAAATTTCCGCCGCAGCAAACGGAAAGCTCTTTTTTCAGCTTTATTTTAAATAACAATTTTATTACGAATTACACGGTCAAATTGCTGTATTACCTTTATTGCTTATTTATGCCTTTTCTTTTATTAAATGCTCGTTTATACTACATTTTATGCCACATTAAAAAAAAACCTCGTCTTTTTATAGATAACGATCGAGTACAAGAGTACAATAATCTGAAATTAGATCAGGTATATCAGCTTTCCGCCTATTGTACCTAACGTTCCCTGCTTCCGGTAAGGAGATAGACTGAACTACTCGATATCGTATCAGGCAGACTCTTTTATCCTCGAAAATGCCGATGTATCCGAGCGCCTGGATTTCGCTGAAACCTGTTTCAAAGAGCGAAACTATTTCTCTTACGCTTCTTTCTTAAATTCTTCCTTTACGTCGTCGTAAATTTTTCAATTGGTGACTGTTTCTTTTGTAAGAATCTAATCGTTTATTATTTGGACAAAGGTTAACCGAGCGAGTAATCACGACGCGTATGATTCAATAAAATCGCACACACAGTTGCAGTCTATTCAACTCTCGGAAAAAAATTCCCTGAAAATTCATGACTTTCCGGCATTTGTGACCGAATTTTCAGGCAGAATTAAAGCATTTTTTTGCAAACGTAAAATAAATGAATTTATTATACAAGCTTCTTAATGTTTTCTACTCGTAACGAAAGAATTAAAAGAATTTGAACTCTAATTTTAAATAACAAATTTAAAAAAGTTCTGAAAAGAATTAAGAGGCGAATCCGGAACGGTCGTAAAATAAAAGCAAGATACTCGAAAAGACATTTTCGATAAAAATTCTCTGAGTAAAAATCTTCCGATAAAACTCCGTGATTTATTCAGGCGGAAAAAGATTCCCCGAAAACTCCAGGTTTTCCAAATTTTTTCAAGTAGAGAGACATCTTGATAACGATAACTTAAACATTATTATACAGAATTTATGGAAAGTTAAAGCAGTTCGTTATTAATCCGATTAAACGAACTAATGCGGATCGAGCGACGAAACACGACGCTTGAAATCTTAATCGAGCAGATGTCTGAATTAAAAAGATAATTCTGAATTAAGCGAAAATAGCCAATCGATGATCGATATCTTCAGCGTACAAATCCTCATGCTTAATGTAAAAACGTTTGTGCACGTTTCCACAACGGTCCCACGCCTCGTACATAATTCTTCCCTCTCTGTTCGATACTCGGCAATTATCGCGCCAGACGAAAGCGTCGTGTCGGCCGAAGAATCATGACGAGAAATTTTGCGCCGCTCGGAGATTCGAATCGATATGCTGCACCGTCGCACCGTAACTCCCACGTTCTCCATGTTGAAGGCTCTCTGAATTATTCTTTGAGAGCGATACACGTACTACGGCGCGGAGACACGCTCCTCTGTTTTTCCGATCGGATTCGAAGTCTGTGCGCAACAGGACATCCGTGACGTTTCTCGGGCATGTTTATTTTTTGATAGCAGATATCAGAATATTTATTATTGTTAACGAAATTCTTTGAACGGTCGCTCAAAGTTGTTTTAATTAAAAAAACCTATTTGCCACTGTTTTTCTACGAGACATTGTTTTCTTAACACGCCAATCTAATTTTGTAATTAAAAAATTAATTAGGGAAAAATTTTTAGCGTCAAACTTACCTTTCTGCGTCGCGCCTGACTCCACAAGCCCTCCTGACGGAGACGGAGATTTAAAATCCATGCATGGCAACGTTGAATACGAGAGTCTGCAACACAATGAAAATTTTCGTCATTAAATTTGTATTGGTCGGTTGAATAGCTAACAGTTAAGTGATCGGAATAGCTAATGTCAAGTAAATACGTATGAATAATTTGATGTACAAACGTACAAAGGTTAATTATCGTTGCATAAATTAATTATCGTCATGGCATAACTAGAAATCGATAACGAGACACGCTCAGTCCGAACTCACGGCCGTCACGCGTGCGCGTGTAGCTTGTCGATCATTGAGTTTACGGGACGAGATCGCACCAGATAGACACCGGTTTCAATTTCCTGTGATCGTCCGGATAGTCAGTCGCGGATTCTGGTCTCATACGAGGACGACACAGATGAAGATAACTGAAATTCGATGAGCGAAAGTCTCGCGGGAATTACGCGAGATATTAATGGTCTCTACGATTATTATGTTGAAATCGATACAATGTGAAATTAATGAAATGAAATATAAATGTATCCTTAGATTTATCGTATAATTTAGTTGTCCTTCGGGGCTATTTGAGAGAACTGTCTGAAGAATTATTATTCCTCGTCGACCGAGGTGTGAGCATCTTTTTATCGTCGTCCTTCGGAACGAAATTACGCGAGTCGAAGTAGTCTCTTCGAGGGAGAAATCGAATTGTCGGTAGTGCATGGAACATATAAGTTCGCATCTTCACTCGCGTTTCAACGTCGATGATAGAAGCTCGCAACATTGCGACGTCGTTTCGAAGAGTCTTAATTGGAATCGGATGGGGGCACTCGAAGACCGTACTTCCGTTCATCTACGACGAACCTCGCGAGAAAAATGCCCCCTCAGCTCGTTAGCTAAATCGATTTTCGATGAGACGCTGCTTTAAGGAAAGAAGATTCCCCTCCTCGATAATTCAGCAAAATAAGAAGAAAAAAATGCACGCTAGAAGTTCCAAGTTGAGAAGAAAAATATTTCGATATTTCGTATCTCGCCGGATCAAAACGCGAGACCAGATTTCTTGTTCGCAACTTGCGGTTCTTCGGTTTTTAAATTCACCGAGTTTTCGCCTCTTTCCAAGTATTTAAGAAATATTACGTCGGAGGAACTGAAAAAAGTCTCGTCTTGTCCAGGCGTTTCTTCGCGTTTGCGCCAAGACCGTTCTTACAATTCTCCAAGTCGCTCTCTCGTTCGCGGCGCGGCTTCGAGTCACGGGCGCGAGGAAAAACATTTTCCGAGCAAATTGAAACGAAGGATAGCACGGCGAGATGAAGGAATAGCGGCAAGTCTAGCGAAAAGCTACCGTACCGAGAATTTTTCCGTCCGGAAACGAGCTTCCGGAACGGCTACGCAACTCGCTATTTCGCAAATTATCCGGCTTTGGAAAATTTTCATGGTTAACTCAGCCCTTGTGTAAATCAAATTTGCCCGCTGCTTATTACGCCGCGTCGACAACCGCTCGCTGTTACTGCATTTACGTTTTATTTATCGGCGACTATTGAATACTTATTGAGTATTCTCGCAAATATAAAGCATAACAAACGATTATATTCCGTGTCATCTCCGATACGCGCGCCTCGGATTACAAATTAGCATAAACATTGCAATTGGCTCGTAATTCATCCAAGGATGATCCCTTTCTGGCTCGCCGTTATCGCCGGGCACCCGCGGCTAATTAATAAAGCTGCGATTAATGCGTAATCGGGGCCGGCCAATTGAAAATTAATGGCTTCAATCGTTGTCACGCGAATTAATTGCAAACTGCCGCGTCACAGCAGGTGAAATCGCTGTATCGCGTGGTGCGTGAAATACGGAGCGCGGCCTATCGCGGAAAATCGATAATAATTTTCTCGCCGATAAGAATACCAAATCTCCCAGGTGTATTATTCGTATTCAAACTGGCGCTCGGAATTTTTCAGCGGTCGAACAGTTTGAACAGTTCAAACTTTTTCGTCTAAATTATTCGGCTCTCACGAGGTTGTAGGTTTGGCGTATATCTTTGAACAATTCGAACCCGAGTTCTCGTAAATTATTAAGGCGATGTTAGGTAATGTTCCGCGCGAAGTGAACAAATAAAAGTCTGTAAGTTTTCCGATAAATATTATGTTCGTTCCATTTTTTTCGTCATGTATACGTCATGTATACGTCAAATTTCTAGACGCGCGGCGAAATACATCGATTATTATGTCACATTCGAAGGAAAACGAATAAAATCCGTTAAAAACAATTTTCTCGTTTCTTGTAAATATTATACTCGCTTGTATTTTTTTCGACACGCATACGTCGAATTTAGACGTCAGAAATCGATCATTAGTTACGTTTGGAATGTAGAGATTGTCCGAACTGGAAACTGAAATATTTTTATGTCGAACAATTCGATCGGACTATTCGTTGGAATCCGAATCCTTTTGTCCGAGCCCTTAGTCAAACAAAATATAATAAAAGAAAATTGAAATTTTACAGCAAATTTTACTATCCACAGAACAGCCAACTACGCTAACATCGTTAGCTTGCGCGATATTTATCGGCACGTGCTTCTATACGAATACGATGAAGAATGCGGGAAAATATGAAATGTGTTTTCCTTTGTACTCGTTCTTGCGTAGAGTGAAAAACGATGGGGTAATCTTTTCGTATCGTATAATGTAATGCCGTTATAAACACATTTTCGCTCGAGGGAAAAGAAAAAAAAAAGCATGCACCGGGATTCCGCCGCATCAACGCACAATTTTATAGTAGACGAAAGAAAAAAATCCTCCGGCTTTTACATTGCAAATATGCGCAACGCGCGCCCGTAAAAATACGCGAGTCCTTTGGCAATTTATGGCCCCGATGAATGACGTTAGTGCGCGTGTCGCGCGAGAAATAACAGCGGGGCAGAGTTGAGCAGCTTAGCGTGTGACGTTTGTTGTAGAAAACGCGACGGTTATTTATAATCCGTTAAAAACTTACCTTCGTGAATCGACTGATAAATAATGGAAGTAACACGTCAACCGGCGCGCATAATCGCATAATTATTGCATGCTCTCCGACGGCGCGTGGACACTATAATAAGACATTTTGATCGCGACACGCGAACGGCCGAGTCACACTTACACCTTCTTGCGCAGAATCACAATAATTTTGCATGCCCGAGCGCCGTGCACGCGACACGTCGCAGATGAAAATTTTCTTTTTTTCTCCTCAATTTACCTTGCCGCTTGTTTTCTCGCCGTTTCTGTAATGTCCTACATAACACGCGTATGTGTGTATCAATGCCCAATTTTTTTCTTTTTTTCGAACGCTATTCACAATAGTCCTTCTCTTTGGAAGCCAGATGTATCGGACACGCGTCCCGATCGTTTCGGGGAGAGAAATGGGACATAAGAAACGGCGCCGCGGGACGAAGAAGAACGTGGAATTGGGTCGAACAAAGGCGCGCGGAGCGACGGATAGAAGCGACCGCTTTCGCTCGCGCAACTTCCGCGTTATCACGGCGAGAGAAAGAGAGCTTCTCGAAGTGAGGGCTCCGCGCGGCACAATGCCGCGGGCAGTTTTCCCTCCGACGAGAGATATCACGTCATATTTTACCAACAAATCCCACCGTTCCCTGATGCTTCGCCGTAACCGGGCTTTTTCGTTTTATGAGGCAATGATTCCGCCCGTCCGCGCACACGGCCACGTGCGTAGCCGCCGGCGGTTTTCTCTCCCTTGTTTTTTCCCATCCCTCTCAGTCGATTCTCTCGTGCCGCGGCGCGGCGCGCGACGCGGGGATATCGGGTTTAATGGATTAAATAAGGAGGAAATGCACTCGCCGCTTGCGCCGTGCATTATCCAATTGTGGCCGTACACAAGGCACGGCTGCTCCGAAACGCGGTCGCGCTGCAAAGAAACATCTGCGCCCTTTATTCAACATTTACGCGGTTTATGATGCCCTGTACTTCGAGCTGGCCAGAAAATGTAACTTCATGTTGCCCGAATAAACGAATCACCCGAGATAAAGTTGCACGAGGCGCGGCGGGTCGCCGAAGTGAGGCGACTTTATCGTTATTAATTGGCGAACATTACCGCGCCAAAGTGCTCGCGTAAGTAGACTGGTAAGATTATTAACTATGGAGCCACGCGCGGCAAAAGACCCATCGCGGAAGATATACGCAACGGAAGACAAATTGCTCGGCATGGTAGCGCTGAATTATTCGTCATACCGCGACCGTTTACGTTAGAGCTCGTCGCGAATTATGCGCGTTTCTGGAATATCTACGAAATGGCGAAGGATCTTAATAAGGCGCCGGCTTTGCGCGCAGAAATGCATTTCTCTGTCCTAGGCACCGTTGTACCTAACGCAATCCCGCCACGCAAATTTATGTAACGAGAAACGACGATGAGCAAAACTCGAGCGCGAGAACGCGACAATCAGTCGGGCGAGAAGGAAAAGCGTGTATCGCAGTTTGTACAAAAGAAAAGCATTCTATATACGATACGGATAGCAATAACGATAAATATGAATAAGAGGCGTGAAATATAACAATAGCTTGGGTAGCACAATCAAAAGTACAAAAAAAAAACCTCGAAAATTGTTTTCAATTTAGGAATTTAAGCTTCTCGCCTCGTAAACTTGTCAATTACGCCACGAGCGGCAGATGCGCTACCTCGAGACTTACGGCGGTGTAACGCGAAAGAACGAATTCAGGGATTCCGGGCACGAGCGACTATTGTCAATTCGACTTATGCAGTGGAACTTCTATGTTGAAAGTTCAGCGTCAAACACCAAAGACAAACCGCGATCTTAATCCGCCATTTCTCGGCGCATTTCGAGAAACGGGTCGTGCACCATATGGAAAATGGATGCGTCGTGCGCAAACGGCGTTCGGAAAATTCGCATTTGTATGCTGCTCGATCGTTGAATGGTTTACGATTCGAGTCAAGGAAAAAAAAAAAAACGCGACAGTATATCATATTAATCATTATCATTACGGCGCGCATTAACTATAAAATTTACGACGCAATATAAATCCATAAATAATTCATTGTAGGCAGTAGCGTTTTGCTGGCAGGCG